AACTTTATCAGTCCTGGCTCACGCTGGCTGCGAGTCCAAAAATAAACATAAATAATGTCTCTGGCAAAAAGGTTACACAGCAGAATGCAAAAACAAAGAGCTATTGCAGCAACACCAGGTTTACAGGAATAACAATGCAGCTGGGGTTCGTTAGTGTCGTCTTCTGGAGATAAAAGGACTGATGGTGCCACGCCCTGGTTGCAGAAGTCAACGTTCATTCATTCGTTCGTGGTTCGTCATTCGTCGTTCATCGGTCGTGGTTTGTTTGTGAGAGGCACTTGGATAAGCTTTCTGTAACCCTGATTCAAAGAGACACTTGGAGAAGTGATTTGCTTTCTTTCTGTAAACCTGATGTTGCTGCAATAGCTCTTTGTTTTTGCATTCTGCTGCGTAACCTTTTTGCCAGAGACATTATTTATGTTTATTTTTGGGCTCGCAGCCAGCGTGAGCCAGGACTGATAAAGTTATTTCCTTTGAAGTCTGTCTGACTGTCGTCTGTGAACAAGCGAAGGGGGGGGGGGTCAGAACACAGATGAAAGGATTAGAAGTTGAAAGATGATTGTATTACAGTATGTACAATGTTATCATAATGGTGTGAGCATGTTCAATGTAAAGTTATCAAAATTGTCAATGTTATTGTTATTTGGTATCAAAATGAACAATACCCAGAAGCCACACTGTTCGTGTATTTCATACATACATACATACATACACACACACAGAGATATATAAATAAAACTTATTTTTTTAAAAAGCTTTGGCTGGTCAAAATTGCAGGTGTGTCAGTAGTTAAGAAGGTATCTATGTAAACTCCTATTCCAAAACCCGAACTAGCTTCCAAGTGCAATTCAACATGCTGGATTTTTCCTGTCTGCATAGTTGAAGCCGCAGTTTCAACGAACCGTTAAAGCGGCAGAACCGAGAAAGCTGCTCCTTGCAAATTGAGTATAATAAGGCTTATCGCACTATAAACAGATTAAAAGGATTCTATAACCCGCCTCAGCGGTTTGAATAGCCTCGCGTCGCAGAAATCCCTCACGCCGCTAAATGCAAACATAGGGAAAAAGCAAACAATCCGCACCACATTCAGCCGGCGGCGTCTTACCCTGCCCACCTTAGGTCAGGGGTCTCCAACCTTGGCAACTTTAAGACTTGTGGACTTCAACACCCAGAGTTCCTCAGCCAGCAACTCTGGGAGTTGTAGTCCACAAGTCTTAAAGTTGCCAAGGTTGGAGACCCCTGTTTTAGGTTGTTTCCATTTCCACCTGTGTCCTGCCTTTTATTAGTCCCAACACCGCATGCGCAGTCTCATTGGCGCAGTATAGTCCTCCCAGCTGCCTGGGGACGCTCTCGGGCCCGAGCCGCCGCTCTTCCCGTTTCGAATCCTCGCGCGCTTCCTTCCTCTCCTTCCCGCTGCCCTCCATGGGTTTGCCGAAGTGGGAGGGGGTCGTGGAGGGCGTTTCCCCGGTCGCCGCGCGGCGTCATTCCCAGCATGCAGTGCGGGCCGCCCCTGCCACAGCCGCCGCTCCTGTCCCTGCAGCCGCCGCCGCTGCCTCTCCGTGCGCTGCCGTCACTTTCGCAGCTGTTGCCGCCGCCGCCGCCGCTCCGGGGCTGCAAGACATGGCGGAGGGAGGCGCGGCGGATCTGGAGACCCAGCGCTCGGACATCGCGTCGCTGCTCAAGACGGCTCTCCGCAAGGGCGACACCTGGTGAGGGAAAAGGAAGGGATGGCGAGCAGGGGGTGGGGTGTTTGAGGGCCGCTCTCGGTGACAGGTGCGGACGGTGCCTCCCTCAGCGCCTTTCGGCGAGGGAAGCGGCAGCCTCCTCTGCCCTTCTGGCCCCCTGTTCGTTCACTGGAGGCTCCTTACTATCCCGGGAGCGGATTTTCGGGCACCCTTTCCCCCCCCCCTCCGGTGCCTATGACGGGCTTTGCCTCAGCGCGCTGCCGGCATGGCGCTCATTCCTCACCTGCGAGGAGGCGAAGGTGGCCGCTGCCGCCAGGTATTTCTCCCCATTGTTTCCAATGGTCGCTGGCAACCCGTCCTAGGTGGAGGAACGGCGCGAGTGAGTCTTTCGGGCAAGGTTTCTCATTCCCAGAGCAGCTTCCGTGGTAAGGCCTGCCTCTCTGGACGGACGGTGGATGGGTGGGCTGCGGGCGCTTCTTGGATTTATATCTCCCCCGGTTCTTTGAACAGCATTCCGCTTTCCTTCCCCTGCCACTCCCTTCATAATTCGCTAACTTCATGATCATCCTAACAACAGTGATTGCAGAAAGGAAGAGAGTAAAACAGCAACGGAGGATCAGATGATGGTTTATAAAATTATGAAAGATCAAGAGAAAGTAGAGAGAGTCGGTTTTTTTTCTCCCCAAATTCTAGATCCCCTAAAATAATACCATAATCCATAATGCTAGGAGATCTGGGGCAATCCAGAAAAGAAGATTTAAAGTATTTTTGTCAAAAGAATTCATTGCTGCAGAGTTTGATTATGTCCATTAATTTAGCCTCTAAAGGAAATTACTGTATACCCATCTATAATGTCTAGGCTGGTTCCAAGAGCAGTTTAGGGACTGAGAAGAAAGGGGCTGTTCAATCTCATACCCTGATTTATATTTTAGATACATAAATATCAATGTTTTATTAAAGCCTTGAAATTTGGATTTTATAACCTTCTGTATTAATATGCTAAACCTTAGCTGATTAATATTTCAGTATTTATGGATTAAGGTACAGCTTGCATTGCCATAAATATTTTCCTCAGAGATGGGAGGAAAACAGTAGATTGTGCATACTTGGTCTTAATCTTCCATTCATTGGCTTCTGTACTAGGAATGGAAAAAGTGCAAATTAGAGACTCACCAATATCCCTTTTGCAGCTCCAAGTACACTCACTTCTGAAAATTTGGGATGTCCATTTTGGGTTTGCAGGGATATTAAACTCTAAAATGAGCATATTGAGTCTTTGTGAAATACATATTTCACGTCTTAACCTTCCTGAAGCCCTCTCCCAATATGGGCTATGTATGCCTCTGGCCACTTTCAGAGTACAGCTCCCCATATCCACAGAAACCTTGCTGCAATCCTTAAACCAGCAGAAGTTGTATAGTCCTGCACCATACAGTTATTGATTTTGCAGTATTCAATGAGGCCAAGTTGGCTTGGAATTCACTTAATGAGTATACATATTGTGGCAATAGGAAGTACACCCAGTAGAGAAATAGCAATAAATAAAAATGCCAGTTTTCCTTCCATCGCCATTGATTTGGGATGGTGAATCACATGCAGATGAGCAGATCCATCAGGTACATGAATCAGCTTAAGTTTTTGAAAGTTATTTTGGTGTTACAATCTAATCATATGTACTTGGAAATATGTTCTATGAATTTCACCTTTCAGTAACAGATTTTGAAATCAGAGCATTATTTTTAAATGTTAATCTGCACAATTCTAACAGTATTTAATGTCAAGTATATATTTTCACCAGTGCAAACAATTGTTAAAAATTTGGCTTTCTGTTCTTACGTTGAATTCAAAAGTGTGCTATATACCACTCATATATAAAATTGTTGATGGGAAAGAAAACAAGCTTAAATTGTGACCATATACTAAGACTGTAAATCACAATTTAGTCCAACTTTTATAAATTTGAGTTTTGGGCAGAGATAACTGCACAGATTCTATCTGAGGAAGAAGAATACAGCATTCTTTCTTTCATGGAGAAAAAATGAATAGTTGAATAGTTATGTGTATTTCTATTAGTTAATTTCTTCCAAAATTTTAGAATGGCATAAATCAGTATTTGGTTTTATTTCCTGATAACCATACAAGATTTTAGTCTAGGAGATTATTTACTACATAAAATTCAGTACCCTGCAATATTTTTGTTGTGGTACATTTTGTACTCATATGCATATGTATTTTGAAATATACTTTGAACAATTTTATCTTGTTTCCGATAGTATACAATATATTGTATCCCCTACTTACTGAAATCATCCCCATGGTTAAGGCAGTTCATAACTATAACTACATTTACTTGGTATTAAACACTCAAAGATTCACAAATTTTAGCTAGGTTTTTCTCTATATAGATTGTTTCTATGTCAAGTTTGGATCTCTCTGGGGGAATTTTTTTTAAAAAACCTCAGCTATTGTATTTTTCATTTATATTGCCATTAGATTTGGAAACTGATGTTTTGGAGCTGAACCTTAATTGCCAATATTTAGAATTAATCATAATATTAGCAATTGTGATCATTAGGATAATAAGATAAATGATATGATCTTGCCTTACTAGTTTTCAATATTTTCTCTCATACCAGCTATAATATTATAATTGTATAAAGTTAAATTCTATTATTGCTTCACATGCTAACAAATTTGGAGTGTAGTTTTCTTTCATTATAAATAAAAAGTGTGTTGCTTGTAAATATCTCTTCAACCTTTTTACACCTACCGCCCACTTTTGTATCTCTGTTAGTAATAAAATTTTCTAACTGGCCACCGGTTCCACAGTAATGGTGATTTATAAAGTAGTGAAGTAACTTTACTTTATAAAATTTATAAAGCAGAGTTACAACAAACCCCTACCGCCCACCATGAAAGCTGGAACGCCCACTAGTGGGCAGTAGGGACCAGGTTGACTACCACTGTCTTAGACAATTTATCTGTAATACACTTCAATTTGTATCTTAAATATGTTTTGTAAATGCTTCATTTTTTTAACTGTTTAGGTCATAACCCTAATCCTTAATTTACAGGTAATTTATTTTATTAATCTAAATTCCAGTCTTAAATTATAGCAGAATGTCTATTAAGCTTGAATTAAAATAGCAAAGGTTTAAAAGCAAAATAATTCAGCTCAGTATTTCTAAATAATCTGGTATTGAAGTGATGATACTGTTAAGAATCATGGCAGGCTTTGGGAAAAAATATTTGGGAAATTGGAATGTGTTGTGCTTCAGATTCAAAGTCAAAAGGTCAATGGGAATGGGTGTGCACAACCTATCTGTTGGTACCTCCTTTTAAAAATTGCATTTTTTTCTGGGCTCCCACAGAAAAATATTTGTTTGTGTTAAGAGTGATTGACAGTGGGCCATTCCACTTTCCAGATGATCTTGTTGCATCCTCTTGTTGCTCCTTAAAGTGCATGTTTTCCAACGATCCACAACTACAATGTGAAAGCAGAGTTTATTTAAGGGGTCACTGGCAAGAGTTGTATGCCACAACTCATGCCACAACTCCAGGCACTCATGCCACAACTCCAACTAGTTGTCCTAGCAGGTCTTACTAGGCTTCTTCTTGCCTTTTCTGCTTGACTTGAAATTTTTGTTTGAATGTCAAAGAACTCCAATAAACAGACATTTCAAATCCCCCCATATCCATGGCATAGGATAATTCATAAAGGAAAAGTAATTGTGAATATCAATAGCTGATCCATATCCTCACAAACACTTTGATAAACAGTTTAAGAACAGAGTGATATGGGAACTCAGTATAAATGACAGAATAGGAATAAGTAGTTAGCTTCTAAAAACCAGAAAAGGATAGAACCATTTAATCAGATTCCCAATTATATTAAAGTAACCAATATAATGCAAGCAAAAAAATTGTATAACTTTGGCATGGCAAATGGCAATAGTGAGGATAACCTGTTTAGTTTGATTTCAAATATATCTAGAGAACCTAGATTTGCACAGACAAACATTTGAGCAACTTGTCTAGGAAACACAAACATCTGGATTTGTTTAGCTGCTACCTATGGCAGGAACTAAGTAGAAGTGAAGCAATAGCATATATCACTAAATTCTTTTAAATTTCTACAGAATGTGGATTTGCTTAAGATCCTGCTTGGATATAAAATGTATGTCTAAATGGATTTCTATAAATATAGCACCAGAATTATTTATTAAAAATATGCAAAGCTTTGATACTAGAATCAGTTATCCTGATATATAGTGACATCTATGTTTGGGAAACTATGTGAGCAATCATGCAGGTCTGTGAAATTGTTTCATAATATATATACCATGTTCTTTTGAAGGTATTTAGTGGATAGTCGTTGGTTCAAACAGTGGAAAAAGTATGTTGGATTTGACAGCTGGGACAAATATCAAATGGGAGATCAGAATGTTTATCCTGGTCCTATTGATAATTCTGGACTTCTCAAAGGTAATTTACTTGTGTTATTTTAAAAAATTCTGAGGTGTCTCAGTATATTAATAAGATAATTTGTTGTTGCAGTTTTCTTAATGAAAACTTTAAACTTTCTGAAATTTGTTTAAAATAGAAGGTGAAAATATCTTAAAAGTAAATTAAAAGTTTAAGATACATTAAATAGTGCAGTAGTGATTAAAGTAAGGTATCAGTAATTTGAATAGTTACCCTTTGTGTACTAAATATTGTGGATTAGTAGAATAGTATATTTCTAAGAATCTCTTATAAAAATATTTTGGGGGACAGTGTAATTCAGAAATTGGCTTACTTCCATCATAGACTAAGTTATATTCTTTTTTTTTAAAGATTCTCAATTGTAATCTCAGTGTTTTAGCACATGTTCTGTATTGAGTATAAGTAAACATAAATTCTTTTTCCTCATAGATGGGGATTGTCAATCTCTTAAAGAGCATCTTATTGATGAGCTGGACTACATTCTTTTACCAACTGAAGGATGGAACAAACTAGTTAGCTGGTATACTCTTCTGGAAGGTCAAGAACCTATTGCACGCAAGGTACCTCCTATAGTAAAACACTGAAATGTTAAAAACAGTATTTGAAAATTCTTTGTTTATAACAACTCCCCACCCTCCTAGAAGAACAAAAATGTTTTTTTTCCCAAGCCACATTGAACTTTATGTGAGTTTAGTTCTGGAACTAACATTTATATTTGTTCACTGTTCACAGAACTCTTGTTTGTTAGTATTAGAACAAAGAACTATATGCAACAAGTATTTCTTATATTAAAGTATCAGTTATCTCAAAGCCTAGCCTCATTGTCATTTTTTTCATCTTGAGTCATCCTAAAATATTTCTGTTACCTGTTCTTTGATAGTCTTCTACAGATAAAGTCTAAATTTGTTCTTTCCCTTGGTACAGCAAAGCAAGTTTTAATCTAAGTGTATAGGTAATGCATGCTAATTTCATTTAGTATGCACTTTATTGTTTATATTTCTTACCTGGTCCTTTAAGTCTGCACTTAAATTTTGCATGCCAGACTCTATGGAGCATCCTGTGTTATTAACATTTGATTTTTGCTTGTTGCAACAAGATATATAGTTGAAGTAGCTATAGCTGATGCATTTTATTAAAATAATTATTTGACTGTACTGTTAGTTGTAACATCTCCCACTTTTGTATATCTCTTCAATCTTCTTCCTTGTAGATATGTATAGGTTTCTCCTCCCCTCCTAAGAAATATTTCTTAAGGTAGCTTCTCTTTGCCAATATCCATACAAATTCACTGCAAGAAGATTGTTAACTTAACCCTAAACAATCCATAGTTGTTTAATAAATATATGTTTTGAAGAAAAGTAATGTATATGCTTAAAATATCAGTATTTCTTTATACTGAACATTTAAATGCTAAAATTAATGTTACAAAGTGTGCTTATTTAGCTATGAAAATGCCAGTCCTCTTAATTTATCATTTCTGTCTGTTTGTGAATATTTCTTCTATTGAAATAAGTGTGAGTTCATATACATATTTAAATTCTTGATCAAAATATAATAATAAAACTTTAATATAAACTGTGGAAGTTTAATTCAGTGCTAAAATAAAGAAATTATTTGATGATAATTGAAATAATTTAGCTCATTGAGGACAATAATCATTTAATCCTAATATCTTTAATAAAGTATGATAAAATAAGTTATGTTTTATAATATATAATACATAGTTTATGTTTTATAATGTATTATATAATGCTAAGTTTTTAAACTGCATAACTGAGAATGTTATAGGTTATTGTATTTCTGCTAAAGTTAAAGATTTTTGCAGGCCATTTAAGTATTTGTGTATGTGCGATACATGATTATGGTGGCTTCAGAGAATTCATAGATATTTTTCACCAAGCATAATGTCATAATTTACAGTGGCTGATCTAATATGTTTTCTAATGTAAATTACTTTTTCTATAACTTCTTATGGCAACTTGTTGGAAATGAAGTATAAACCTCTAAATGTTTAAATATTCTCACTTTTTTTAAAGAAAAAGACAATAAAAATCATTAGGAAAATGATATTTGATGCTATAGATTTAAAGCGTCTTTGAAACTCTGGCATGCATATGGGTCTATAACTTTAGCAATAATAATATTTTTTTTATAAAAATACAACCTTAGTGGCAGACCAGTAACCATACATATAAATATTATTTGGTGTTTATTTATTAAATTCAGTTTTATTTCAAAATCTAAGGACATTTGTCTATTAATATACCCTTCCCCCCTAGTGAGAATTCATTGATTCTGTTGCTATAGCATATGATTTCTAGCAGTTATTTGGTACTTCCTTTTTTTTTGCCTATTTTGATGAATCACAAACCAAGCTGATGGCTATTTTCAGGACAGTCTACATGGCTGATTTATGCAGTAACAGCATAGAAGATCAGATGGAAATATACAAGAGGTGATTGTGAACATTCTGCTTACCTCAGTTTCCAAGTTTTGTTGGCTATTAGTAATTTATGTTGAAGAATAAAGTTAAGATTGTTTTCCTAAATAAAAATAAAATTAATATATCCAATTTCAAAAATATTGCTGGTATTTAGTGCCAATAAGCTATTTATGTTGCTAGTGTGAATAGTTATTTTTTTTAAAGTAGAGTGTTTGTTTCATTATAAACTTATGTTTAAGGTGAAAATTAAATTTTGATCTAATCTTCACAACCTTTCATGGCTTATAAAGCATCTAATTACAAAATAAAGGTTGACCATCTGAAAATTGTGTATTATATATTTAGGAACGTATATGTTCCATTTAGTTTTAATCTGCTTATTTTCCAGGTAGTTGAACAGGGTATGTTTGTCAAGCACTGCAAGGTGGAAGTTTATTTGACAGAATTGAAATTATGTGAAAATGGAAATATGAACAATGTAGTGACACGAAGATTTAGTAAAGCTGATACAATAGGTATGACCATTGAAATTTCTTTATGTAGCTAAATTACTTTTTAAAATAAGTTCTTTGTCATGCATTGCTTCCATAAAATAAATGTCATGGTGTATCATTGTATTAACTATTTAATTTGATATTTTAAAATTATCCCAAACTATCTCATTTTAAATTTAGAAAGTATAATGCAGACACTAATTTTTCCACAATGTATTATTCTTATTTGAACATAAGTGGAAAAACTTTCTCTAACATAAATGAAAGCATCTTAGCCCATAAAAAATTATTTTTTCATCTGAAATGCATATAATTTCTTTCAGAGATTGGCTGAATTTCTACATAATACTAAACCAAGGTTTAGTAATTCATGCCTAGCTTTTTAAACTCAAATGAAGTCTGGAGCTCAAATAATTTATTTCACTGAAACAAATGACTGAACTTAATACATATAAATTATGGTGTAAAAAGGTATGGTCAGCAATCAAAACCATTGTTCTTTTAAAGTATCTTTTAAGTTCAAATTCTTTTTTGCTTGTAATGACAATATTGAATTAGCAAATTTACTCTAAATTTGTAAGAGTATACTTGAGACACAGGCATTGGCAGTCACAGAGTGCCAATTTTCATCTTCCAGTGGAAGTGAGGGAGTATTCTCAAAGCCTGATTGGTCCAAAGACTGAGAGCAAACCCCTTAAATACTCCTGCCTTCCATTCCTGCCCAGTTTCCTCTCAGTCTCTTGGTCCAAGCACTGTTTGAGAATTTGTATCTAGGTAGGAAAGCTTATTTATTCAATCTGGTCTAGTATTTGGCTGAATTGGGCACTTTAAAAGTTCTTAAATTCTAAATTGCAGCTGCGGCCCAATGGACAGTCCTTCTGTCTCGAGCAGTCGGAGAGGGCCCTGTGGAGCATCCATCCTTCCCCTCTGCGGGGCCGGAGCCCTATCCCTATCCCCGGGATTGCGGGGGTGCCGTGCTCCTGGTACAGCTGCGGGTGAGGCCGTTTTTTCCCGTTGCGGCAATCGGCAAGAGAGAGCGGCGTCGGCACCACAAGGTGCGCGCAAGCTGCCTTCGGAGCCAACGCTTTGATTCCGGTGGCTGCCGCACGCTTTGCCTGAGGCCATCAGCGCGATCGGATGATGGGGGGTGAGCCTGTGTGCCACGAGGCCCCCCAGTATTGCAAGGCCCATTTGCCCCGAGGTCCGACAGGCCCTCTGAGCACGGTTTTTCAGCCTATTTCTACCATGCCAAGAACTTAGAGGCCCAGCGGCCATTTTAACTGCCGCCAAGTGCGTGAGGTCTTCGCTATCTACAGAGCTGATTGGGAGGCCAGGCTAGGGGCATTCGGCCTAGTTCCTCCCTCACCTTCGAAGGCCCAGGTTCCGGTGGGGCCTACAGAGGCCTGGTGCTATTTACCTCCACGCTATAGGACACGTGAGTAGTGATGGAGGAGTGGTCGGAAATTCCCCAGCGCCAGGTTGAGGACCTGATGGGGGTGGAAGGAGACCGGGGGCAGGGGAGCGCTCCCGGGGTTTCCCCGGCCAGGCCCTTGGTAGCTCACCGCCCCTCTTCTACGCTTCTATGAGGGAGGAGGCCAGGAGACACAAGGCCCTGGAAAAGACCTTCGCCAGGGCTGAGAGGCAGGTCAAGTCATCCGGGCTTGCCTCTGCCAGCAGATCCAGGTCACCACAGGCTTCCTTCTGATCATTCCGCGCCAAGGGGGTTTAGTCCATCTTCTCGCTCGGTATCACCAGCCAGATCTCGCAGCTATTCCAGGCACAGGGGATCTCCTTCTCCCTCCCCTTCGGTTTCGCCTGGGTTGGCGAGGGATAGTTTTGAGGACCCCCTGGAAGGGACCTCTAGGGGTCATCAGTCTGCCTGTAGGTTGGCCCCATAAGGCCCTAGTTCCTTCATTAGGGACATGGAGGATCTGGATCACCTCCCTGAAGGGATCAAAAGGCTTATTTCTGCAGCTATTTCACGGGGCATAGCCCAGCGGGATAGGAGTTCCCACTCATCTAAGCCTCAAGGGGGGCCAGGCCATCACCAGTATAGGGCTCCCTCTCCTTCCATGGTTAGCAAGGGTTTGGTTTTGGGGGAGGAGAATCTCCAGGATATGGGATTCTTGGAGGACGAGGACGCGGCCCCTTCTTCTTCGGGTCTCTTTCCTCCGGTCATGTTCAAGACTCTCCTAAACAAGGCGAGGAAGACCACCAAGATTGGGACAGGGGATTCCATGGTGCCTCTGCTTAGGGATCCAGACATGGCCATGTTTTCGAACACGGCCACGAACAAAGAGGAGATTCCGGCCCCGCCTTTGTTCATGGAGGTCCTGACCAACCAGTGGGCTCGACCTTCCAATTTCTCTAATGTAATGACCGTCGCTTCTATAACGTGGAGCAGGCCTTTGCTCAAGCCATTCAATTACCCACTATTGACACCCCAGTTGCTACCCTAGTCTCCTCTTCCCCCGTGGTGTCTGGTGATGCGGCAGATAAGTTGAAACCTGAGGATAAGCAGGCAGAGCTTACCTTAGGGAAGAATTTCAACACCACTGCCTGGGCCATAAAGTCCGCGGCTGCGGCATCGTATTTTAATCGCACTACGGTCAAGTGGCTCCGCCAGCTCCAGGATTGTATCCCGATCCAAGACAAGCAACTCCATCAGGACCTAACTAAGATTATTGCTGCCTCACAATTTTCCGCAGACGTGACCCTGGACACGGTTAAGTTTGCATCCAGCCCCTTGGCCACCTCTGTCACATCCCGCCGCCTTCTGTGGCTTTGTAACTGGCAGATGGATAACAAGGCCAAATGGAATCTGGTGGCTGCCCCCTTCAAGGGCCCCAATCTCTTTGGGGAGGCTCTCGACCCCATTCTGGTCGAGAATAAAGACAAGAAAAAGGTCCTTCCGTCTAACACTAAAAAGGCGGAGTCTCGGGCTCATCCTTATCGTAGGCCGTCGTATAGGGCTCCTGACTTCAACCATCATCAGCGTTTTTCTTCTTTCAGGTCCGACAGGCAGTTCTCTAGGCCATCCTATCAGGACCGGAATAGGTTTCAGCATCAGTCCCGGCGGCCCTTTCGAGGTGGCAACAGTTGTCCTTACCACAGGGAAGTAATTCGAACCCGAGTCGTCCAATAGGCGGCCGCCTGTCCTCTATGCAGATTGATGGGATGAGATCACATCAGACACCTGGGTCAAGTTCACAGTTCATCGGGGTCTCCGAATCTCTTCAGGTTGTTCCCTCCGTCTCGGAGCCTGGCGCGCCGCCATCTGATGGATCAGGCTATAAAACACCTTCTCGACATTCAGGCAGTGGAGGCAGTTCCCCATGTGGAATGTGGTCTGGGCCACTACTCCAACCTGTTTGGGGTCCCGAAGAGTTCGGGGGGCTGGAGGGCGATTCTGGACCTCAAGCGCCTGAACCACTTCTTGGTTTACAGGCGCTTCAAGATGTCCTCCCTCAAGTTAGCTTCAGCCCCTTGCACATTTACGAAGGTGCTAGCAGCACTGGCGGCTCATCTCCGCTCCATTCCGGTGAGGCTCCAATACTACCTGGATGATGTCCTAGTTCAGGCGGGGTCCCTCCCTCAGGCGGTCTCGGACCTTCGGCTTACCATTCGGAGTCTTCAGGCCCTGGGGTTTTCGGTAAATTTTCCCAAGAGCCATCTGTCTCCGTCCACGCACATTTTTCACCTAGGGACAGTCATAGATTCCATGTCGGGGGTGGTCCGCTGTCTCAGGACCGCCAGACAAGTCTGCAACAGTTGGCAGGAAAGGTTCACAGAAGTCGGTTAGTTTCAGTCCTCTCATTGTCACAGTTGTTACGCAAGATGGTTTCTTGTATAGGGATAGTCCCGTGGGCCAGACTCCACCTCCGGCCTCTTCAGTGGGAGCTCATTCCTTTCCAGAGAGGAAGGATGAGCAACTCTCTTCGGACTCCCCGCCTCCCTGTGGGGGTCCGGGCTTCTCT